GTGCCGTCTAAATGTATAACGAAAAACAATGGCAACTGGGAATTATTTCCTCTAATATAGATTTAATTATTAATCAAAGCCATGATGTACACTAAATATTGGCTGAATTTCTTGACAGCTGCAGGAACGTAGTTATCTGTGGGACGTTTATAGTCCTTTTCATTAAAAAGAGACATCCATACACCTTCACAGCAAATTTCGGCCATACATACTTTTTTTTCTCCTCAGTATATTCACGGCTTCCTTTCTTTTATCTAAATACAGAGCAATCAAGAGTTTTGCTGGGAAGTTTTTACAGTACTCATTAAGTTCTAGATCATATTTTACAAATAAATTACATCTAGCCCTTACATAGTTTTATATCTTAAAAAGTATTTTTAATAAAGACCACATAAGCACTTACCATTTGAGATGTGTTTTCACTGAAGTCAAATAAATAAAGGCTGTGAAAAGCTCAATCCTTAACCTCCTTGTTGACAATAGTAACTAGTGCCAATTGTGGTGCTAGTTTTTGTAACACAGGAATAAGACCACGATTATTTCATAGGCTATTTAACAGCCAACAGATTGATTTTGAATAATGGTTTAAAGATTTGATTTTTTTTCATCCCTTTTAAATAAAACAAAAGGACAACTTGATAACTTTTGGTTACGTTCACCTTCAGTGGATTTTAGTCAGTAATCTAGAGTTTAAAGGCTCTATGCTGCTAGCAATCACTTGAGATATTCAACAAACTTTAAATAAGTTTTCTGATTTGTTCTTGATGCACCTCCTGGAAGCCATAACAGCATCCTTCCCACAGGACATGATGTACATGTTATCCATTCATCATTACAGGATTTAACTCCATTTATGTAATCACTGATGTCAAAGAGCCAAGTCTTGACGCAAACCCATGACTTCCAAATCTCCAGATTTCTGTTGTGATCTACAGTACCTGGACTTAGAAACCAAATTTTCACCTAATAGTGCATTTAACAAACACCATTAAATTGTCTTTCTTCACTATTGTTAATTACACTACCTATGAACCTTGTATGTATCTTAATGCTAACTGCAAAGTATATGATCATGTTAAGATCAATCTTGTGAATAGTGAAAATTGCTTAATATTAGGGTTAAGATATTGTCTATTAAAACGTGATCAAGGTGGGGAAGGAAATATGGGGGTCTGGGACACTCAAAGCTAACCTGGGTGAAAACTTAATTGTGTTTCTAAATGAGATTGACCCACAAGTCTGTTCAAAGTTCAAAATGATTTTTAATTAACTTTTACATTTAGAATTTAAACTAAATTGAAGCATATACTGCCGTTATAAAAATAATACTACTAATATGTGCTTCTGTAGTGTCAAAAATCAAAAAGGTTTCAGAGTAGCAGCCGTGTTAGTCTGTATCCGCAAAAAGAACAGGAGTACTTGTGGCACCTTAGAGACTAACAAATTTATTAGAGCATAAGCTTTCGTGGGCTGTGGGTTGTAGCCCACGAAAGCTTATGGTCTAATAAATTTGTTAGTCTCTAAGGTGCCAAAAATCAAAAAGTTCTCTTCAAACAAAAATGTATGAAACCTCATAACAAACTTGTAAGGTGGGTAACTATTGTCAGACCCATTTCACAGCTGGGTTAATTCAAATATAGATGTAAAGTGACTTCCAAAAGAAAATATAGCAAGTCTGTGGCAGACTCCTGTCTCCCAGTGCTCTTCTACCCATTGGACACACTGGGCTCAATTAAGAATGAGCTATAAGGTGTAAAGTTAGAACCTCCTGCCACTTCTTATAGGGGAGTTAAATGGGTGTATGTATATAGCATTGCGAAGAGATCTCAAACAGGATTAAGGTTGATCCATTATACTATACAAATGCCTCACAGACACATTACAAATTGGTCTGTGCTAAACACAGGTTAATTATCTTCCTGTAAAAATAAGACAAACATTTAGAGCAGTGAGGGATTCTAAGTGATGACAAATTACTGCAAAATAGCTAATTACATTGGCTGAATCATTCTGTTTCTCATAGGAATTTTAAACAGTAAAAATATTATGCACTTTTAATGAATATCAGGCTTATTTTATGATTTTAAGCTTTTGCAAGGTTGGTAATGGCTCTCCAGGTCTATAAAACAATACAGCATCTCAAATAAAGTGTCTCATCTTCCTCTTTCTTTCCATCTGTTAGTGTCTCTTACGATTTTGTCCTTAGCCTCTACACTGTCTTTCCTTCATGACCTTGTCTGCTCTTTATGGTTTCAACTACAGCCTTGATGAGGATGATTCTCAAATCTACGTTTCTTAGAACTGTATGCCTTCTGTTCAGTTCCTCATCTCCAGGTGTCTTTCTAGCACCTCCTCTTGGGTGTCATTACAAGCTACCATTACAAACTCTCCAAAATGGAATTTTTTTCATCTTTCCTTTCAATACTTCTCCACTCTGTCTCTTCTCTATCTCCATTGAAAACACAATGATTAAGAATTTGTGTGAGACAAACTGGGAAATAACATGTATTATTTTTTATGAATATGGTGCATGACTCTCCTTATTTATGATGGAGTTGCTATAGAGTTAGATCCAAAGGCCTTGTTAAAAGAACCAAGCAGGGAAGGTAAAATAATGGGCTAGATAAGGAGCATCCCACCAAACAGTAAAACACAGTAGCCAAGTTTATAGCCACGAAGAGGTGATGCCTATGTCTCAACTCTAGTGAGAGAGCTGTTTGGCCAAGGCTGATGAGAGACAGACCAAAGGGAAACACTAAGCCATTACAGGAGCCTGGGCCTAGAAAAGGGAGGAGGGTTAGGTGAGCAAGGTGAGGCTGCCCAGAGAGAATCAATGAAAGCTGATAGGCTAAGGGGTACACAGAGCCTGCTGCAAGCAGGAAAGTCTATTTTTCCCAGCCAGAGATGGGGATTAGCTGGGCTAACAGGAACCTACAAAAGCTGATGAGGAATGATGACGGTGTAGGTCAGAGCAATGTGTCTAGCTTTTTTATTGTTTTTACCTTTTGCTCTATGTGCTTTGTGCCTCTGGGGAAACAAATGAATAATACTTTGTTTTGAAGACCCTGTTTTGAGTTGCTTTAATCAACTCCCTGGTCACAGGTTCCCAGAGCGAAAGGGCTTACAGGTTCCAAACGCTGTTCAGCCTGTGTCATTAACCTGGCTGGGAACCAGGAAGGCTGCAACCCAGTGACCCAGTCCCAGAGTGGTTGGACTGTGTGGTTCTGCCTGGATTGAAGTGCAGGAAGCCAGCCTTGTTACTAACAGGTGCACTTGAGAGGGAGGGACTAAAAGAGGTCCAAGGTGCCGTTCTCCCTGTAACCGTGACACTTTGTCTCCCAGATTTACAATCAGAGTGGTATATTTACACTTCTCCCCATATACTTGTCTCTAGTAAGCATGCCCCTTTTTTCTCTGTAATATAGCCATCCTCTCTTCATTCCTCCCCATTCCCTGAAAACCCTTGTCCAGTTCTTGTCCATCATTATCTTCTGTTTTAAACTTCTTCTCTAGACCTTCCCACCTCTCCCATCTTTTCTCTCCAATCAAATCCATATAGTGTTTCAAAATCATTCTTCTCTCCTGTCACTCCAACAAAATTGCTGCCCTCTGAGAAAGCCAATGAAAGGATTCAATCTGTATTTAAGTTTCATATCCTAGTCTTCAAAGTGTTACATAGTCTTGGCCCCATCTGTATATTGGCTCTCATTTTGTACGCTATTCCTGAACCTCTTTCCTTACTGCTCCCTTCATTGTTCTTCTTGCACTCATGGCTATTCATTTCTATCACATTGCTCCTGTGCCAAGAACAATTGCAAACTCTCTGCCCTCTATCAAGCCCTCTTTCTGCTCCTTGCTCCAGGAAAGCTTGCTACCTTCTCCTCCACCCAAATCCTCCTCCCATCTTCTCTTACTTGAGCTAGTGTTCCATGGCTCATCATGTCTTTAGCTTGTATAGCTTAGATTGTAAGCTCTTCAGCAGTTACAAAGAATAAATACTAACCCAAGACCCCAGCCCAACCAATCTGTTCTTATGCTTTTTACATGTACACTTTCTGAAGGCTAATTTCCATTCTCAGCAGAATCACTACCTTTGGTAGAGGTAATTTATTTCTACAAACACAATAAGAGGATTAGACAACACAGGTGAAAAAATAGTCTGTACTTTTAAAGTTGGGAAATTTCTACATATGTAGGTATGGCAGATGGCTCTGTAAAGGTTAAGCAACCTTTACCCAGATGCTGGATGGCGTAAGCAGCCTTTTGGTACTTTCTGTATTTTATCCAAGGGCTTTCAGCTGGAAGAGAATCAAATACCCAACTCTCTTATGGCTATTTACACTGTACAGCGCTGTATGCAGGTTAAATCACATGGTAGATGCCACATGATGCATCTTTGAATGAATATTTCAAAAGGAACAATAGCCAGATTAGAGATCTATAATCAATTCTGACTGCACATGAACTCGCATTTAATTTGACTAAATCGATCATGTTTGAAAGTGCAGATTTGTGTTGGCTGTTACACGTGTTCTACTTAGTGCACTAGACACTTGCAGTGATGTGTACATTATAAAACTCAGAGATTAGATTGATAGAGATAAGCAGATGACTATTTCAACATTTAGTCTAAGATTAAATTTACAGGATTTATCTCAATCCTATTTAAGTCAACGGAAGTCTTGTCATTGACTTCATCACGAACTGGATCAGACCCATAGTGAATGAGCACTATGGGAATGTTTTAGTAGACCAAAAATGTCCACATTAGCTAAATTCACTCATTTCCACCTTACTTAACATATCCAGATTATGCTAAAATAAACTAATGCTTTACATGAAGCTGGGAGATAAATACAACAAGGAGTCTGGTGGCACCTTAAAGACTAACAGTCTTTAAAGTGCCACCAGACTCCTTGTTGTTTTTGTAGATACAGACTAACACGGCTACCCCCTGATACTTGGGAGATAAATAGTTAATCTATGTAGCAAAAGGATATGAATAAAACTGTCATCCAAGTTGCAGACTGATGCTTGGAGTTGATCTTCTAATTGCACCAGTTTCTCACTTATTGCGTCACATTTTTCTCCCAGTTCTGCAGAAAATAAGTGGAAGTCCTAGGAGTTGAAAAGGAAAAGAAAAGGTGATTGCTATTTATTCCATTAGTACAGTTCAAATTCATGGCAAATTAAGGATAAAATAAATATTTTAAAACAGTAAGACTGGATGACTCAGGGAACTGGTAACAGGATATAGTGCCTTGCATTGCTAGGTCACTCGTTCAAACCCATGGTCCGGTTTGTACTGAGTGAAAGCTGTTATTGTATAATGATTTGGTGACCTATGTGAAATGAAATGAGCTGGTGGTCTCAATCCATCTCCAAGCAGCAAAATAAGTCACGATAATTGTCATACTCAGCAGGGAATTAAATGGTCACTGAGATGGAACTGCCCTCTCACTCCCAGCCCTTCAGTGAAGGGGAATCTTGCACTGCCTATGCTGTGCATGTTCTATCGTTAAATAGACTATCGTCTCTAGGGGTACAATTTTCAAAACCACCAAAATACTTTAGAAATCAAAGTCCTATTTTTCAAAAGTGACTTAGAAAGTCTCACTGAAAGTCATTGGACCTAAATGTCTAAGTGCCTAAGTTGCTGTTGAAAACATCACTTGGGCTTCTAAGTCACTGGTATTTTTCAAAATTTTACTTGAAGGCTATAAATGTTGACATCTCTTTCAAGCACAAAATTTGCTAAAAAATTTTGAAAAGACTAAAAAATCTGGCTGAAGTGTTGAGAGACTTTGCTTGAATAATTCAGAATTTTGGGAGGGCTTGACATATGTGCCATTATTTAATGTTTTTCATCTTAAGATAGCTCAGTGGTTTGAGCATGGGCCTGCTAAACCCAGGGTTGTGAGTTCAATCCTTGAGGGGGCCACTTAGGGATCTGGGACAAAATCAGTACTTGGTCCTGCTAGTGAAGGCAGGGGACTGGACTCAATGACCTTTCAGGGTCCCTTCCAGTTCTATGAGATGGGTATATCTCCATATATTATTATAACAACATGTATTGATCTAAGATAATAGACTTTAATTTTGTTGGTTTAGACCAGGGGTGGCCAACCTGAGCCTGAGAAGAAGCCAGAATTTACCAATGTACATTGCCAAAGAGCCACAGTAATACGTCAGCAGCTCCCCCATCAGCTCTCCCGCCCACCGGCTGCCAGTCAGCGCCTCCTCCTCCTCCCTCCCCGCACCTCCTGATCAGCTGTTTTGTGGCGTGCAGGAGGCTCTGGGGGGAGGGGGAGGAGTGAGGGCATGGCAGGCTCAGGGGAGGGGTGGAGTGGGGCAGAGCCAGGTGTTGAGCAGTGAGTACCCCTTGGCATATTGGAAAGTTGGCACCTGTGGCTCCAGCCCCCGAGTCGGTGCCTGTACAAGGAGCCGCATATTAACTTCTGAAGAGCCGCATGTAGCTCCACAGCCACAGGTTGGCCACCCCTGGTTTAGACTAACAGTATTCTGCTATTGCATTACAAAGGAAAGCAAGAAAATATAAGCTTAAAAACTAGTTGTTTCCCACCATTTTTATTTCAATCACAGTCCATTTTAAAATGTATAGTGCTACTTCCAGTTACAGGATGCATCAAATTTTGCAATTAACCAGGTTTAGAATATTCGCTATACATATTTCCTTGCAGTGTCATTCCTCATTAGGTGAACAACAAATTGGCAAATGATCATTTTGGAAACAATTAATTTTAGAACTTTTTTTAACAGTGACACACAAAAAAGGCAATTTTGCTATTTTAATCTGCACCTGCATCTACACTGGGTGACATGGCCAGGCTCAGGGGAAAGCGAAGTATATGTAAATGGGTCATTAGGTACCAGATCTGAATTTCCATGACCACAGTATTGAGACAACCATGGTCATTCACTAACGGGTCAGCCTGAACTATTCTTCTCTTGCTGTATCCCCTACGAATTCATCCAAACAGGTGATGTTAATTTTACACATGCAGCTAGTGTCCTGGGTCTTAAAAGAGCCTCAGAATCAACAATGCCAGCTGCTGTGATGCTTCCTTAAATCATGGCATAAATAATGGCAAAGGATTCTGGGGCCTATGCAGAAAGCCAAGCATTCACTAATAATAAGCTAAACCAGAAATGTCTTCCTTGAGGAAAAATACACAGGAGGGGGGGGGGGGGGAAGCGCGGGGGGGGGGGGGGGGTGGGGACAGGGAGCAACTGAGACAAGCTGGGGTGACCAAATAGCTTCACTGCCTAGGTTACCAAGGTAGACAGGGCTTCTCTTATGAAGCTGGGGTGTGCTGTCCAATGTGAAGTATTTTGATTCCCAACTATATTGGTTCTGTGGATCCTTAGAGTGTTGGCATAGTCATCCATGGTGTAACAGTGAATTTATACCAGTGATGAATTTGGCCCATTGTTTTTAAATTCAGAGGCAGGTGGGGAGAAGGTGGCATCTCTCTCTATTGACTGTAAATGTCCTTGTCTCAGAACTGGGTAAAGAAAATGAGTCATCCATCGAGCTGGTAAATTGTTATTCCGTACACCAGCAAGCTCTTGTATGTTTTTTTAGGGAGAGGGATAACCTGAGCAATTTACACAACTGGAAGGCTATTAGAGAATAGCTTTGTGAGAAGCATACAAGAAAAGAGTGCAGCATTCTAAGTAAACTTTGGTATCTCTAATGCTAGAAAAAGAAGAGTTAGTAAATCATTGACAGTCATTGCTCTGAAAGTATATCTAAAAATGATTATCTATTGAAAGTTCCATCTTTGAATGCCAATTTTTCTAAAGAAGTTAACCAGTCATAAGAAAGTTAGATGTCCATATAGCCATCATTTCAAATGCGTCAATGTTGCATGTGTGCGTGGGGAGCGGGGGAGGTTGGTGCAGTGATGGTTTGCTCGGTACTATAAAATACGAACACTTGATTTAGCAAGAAAAGCTGTTAATTAGGATTTGAAAGCTCTTAAGTGCAGATTTGCTTTGATGGATAAAACATATGAATGAGGTTTTCCAAATCAAGCTATCACTGCGGACTGTATGCTTAGGTAAAATAAATTACCACAGTACAGAACATGAAGAAGTGCTGTTTTAAAGTGACATGTAAACAAAAAGCAGGCTCTAGTTCCATAATATCAATATATTGAGTACTTTGTCTGGATCAGACTACAGTACATTGCTTTAATTAAGGGCTATTCGTATATTAGATTATAGATCAGACTCACGCTGTCAAAAACTATGAGATTTCCAAGGCTGGTTTGAAAAAAATCATGATCGGAGGCAACAGTTAAAAAATATTGTGTAGATTAAGTGATTGTCTTTGAAAATGTGTGTCACTATATTTAAGCAAAATGATACAATAAGGGTATGGGTTATATTGGGACGTCCTCATTTTCAGATGGGTTAAGTCAAGTCTGAGGTCAGAGTATTTTCATAGAGTACTGTTGCATGTACTCTAGCCCTAATATCAGTCACCTAACTAGCACAATTGCTGAAAGACAGGATTGGTTACCAGAGTCCCTTGAACCCAACTCCTTTCTAAAGCTGCATTCATCTGTGCTTCATGGTATACGAAATACACAGGAGCCTTAAGGTATCTTAACTGCAGCATTAACTCAGGTGATCAGCACCTAGGTCTGAGCATCTGGGTTTGTCTAGCTCAGCTGTACATGGCCACACCGCAAAGCCTTACCTGAATTACTGTGTCCTCAGTGGTGTGCACTCACCCATGGGTGTTGCTAGTACTGCTGGGGCATATGCCCTGGTTCTTGGCACTGCAGTAAACTGAGCTATGCTGTGATTCTTTCCCAGTGAATTGTCTGAGAACTTGTCTGTCCCTCTGGGCTCATGGGGTAATTGTGGGAAAGCACTGGAGGACTATCAACCCTCAAGTGGTTTAGCCTGCATCCACATTGCAGAATGGGTGGGTCATCAATCCAAATGAAAACCTCACTCTGATTTTAAACTATCACCTCAGACAATCCAGCTAGCCCAGGTGAGACAATTGTGTGTGTGGATGGGAGAGAGGTTGAGGGCCACACCCAAGTAAAAACCTGTGTTAACTCTGCCGTGAAGAAATGCCCTGATCAATGAAGAACTATTCTGTGTTGGTCTACTTCAGACAAGTTTTACTCTGTTGACAACATAGGTCACCTCATTTGGCTCCTCCAGATCATCTCCTAAAGTCACATGCAAAAGGAGATCTTCCACCACACCCTCTCTTTGCAGCTATGATCTGTGTATTAGTTGAAGTGGGCTCCCAATTAGACCTTGCTTTCCCTTTTGTTTTCTGATTCAGCAGTTACAGGAGAAAAGGTCCATCTTTTGGTATACCCAGTATTTCTTATCTTTTAGCTTTTGTGGGTAGGTGGAGGGGTCCTCCAAGCCCATGTCAGATCTTAGAGCAGCTTTTCCCCAGGTTAAGAGTGTGCCCCTTTTGGGGAAAAGGGTGCACAGACAGACCTCCCAACTGTTCTCCAGGGTCCCAGCTTTTATTTCTTTTTATAAAAAGTTAGTGTCTAGCTGTTACTTTGTTTTAAAAAAAAAACATGTGAAAACATGACCCAAGCGTACTTATGCAGCAATGTCTGCCTGAGTCTCCAAAGAACCTGAAACAGTAGTGTAGAAGTGTGAATTGTGCCATTCATTTCACTGGCTAAAACGCCAATGTTAACATTTTAAACTATTCCACTGCTCAGCAAAGCACATAAGAAAGAAGAGGAAGCATCATGTTATAAGAATCTGCACATTCTACTCAGTATGTCTGCACCCTTTAGGTAGGACTTTAACAAATACCTGTCAGGGTTGGAGGGGCATGATTGGTTTCCTTTTTCTGAAGTGGGACCCCTCAACTTTAAAAAGTTTGGGAAATGCTACCTTAGAAAATTCTAATTTCCTTCCTCTTTTTCCACTCAGAATGTCCTGTGTCACTCCAGGCTCTGTATATCAACGTAATCTCAAATAAAAGCAACAGTTACTTCAGATGTACACTGATGTAACTAAAAATAGAATCTTTCTCCTTTCCTGTTTGCTCATCCCATACGAGCAGAAATCCTCTTTCTGTTCTGTACCAGCTGGACTGG